CCCCCGCCCCGACTCCCCCGGCGGATCGCCTGGGCGGGACGTGGAGCAAGGGGACCGGGGTTGCGGAGGCCAGCCGCATCGCCCTCCCCCACCCCGAGCTCCTGCCCGCGGGCGCACTGGGGCGCTCAGGGGCTTGGTGTGCTCCTCCACAGATCCCCTCTGGAGTGTCCTCTTTCTGCCTCAGCCTCCTTATTATCAGGCAGTGCCCTCTCTGCGGTTTTTAGGATGACACTGGAGAACAAATGTCTGGGAGCAGAGGCGGCCTTTGGTGTGGGGCTCCCAGTGAACTCGGGAACCCAGATAAGGAGGCAGTGACCAGAGCTGCCCAGCAGCAGAGGTCAGGAAAGGTCCTGGAAAACAGCATCTCGTTTTGGGGACCCGAGGAGGGGTCCCCTCCCCCTCCTCTTGGCCCGGGTTCTGGTCAGTCACCAGATCCTGCTGCTGAGATTTAGGAAAAGCTGTTCTGGCATCTCTTCTGCTTCTTTGTAGCCACAGTAAGCACAGCTGCTTTCCTCCCTGCTCCTGTCTGTGTCTCGTTGTCTATTGAAAACAAGCCCAGCCCCAGCAAACCAACTCGCCCTTGGGGTTTACCCTCCAGCGCCCCTGTCAGCTCTTTCTCCTGCAACAGGCCCCACGCTGGCTCCCCGCGCGCCCCCCCCCCCCGCCCTTTGTAAGAGCTCGCCTCCAGCTCTGACTCCCTCTCTGGAGCTGCAAACAGCTGTGGCTGCTTAAAGCTGGGGTGGCACTTCGGAGAGAACAAGAGAACCTGTGTTCCCCGCATGTTCCTGCGCCTTTGGTGGGGTGCAGCTGAAAGCCACGCGGGGCCGTCTGTTCCTGGCCAGCTGACTGGGTATTGTCTTACATAGAGGCTCCTGCCAGGCAGAGTGCCTGCGGGTCTCATACCTCCGAGGTGGGGGAGGGGACATCCAGAGATCGCCCAGCAGCCCCCTATGAGGAGAGGGGCCTGCTGACCTGAGTGTTCAGCCTGTGATGGTGCCAGGCAGCGAGAGGTGCAGTGGCCTGAGATGAAGGGGCCACCTGACACTTTCTGTCTGCATGCACTGACATCTCACCCAGGAGAGGACTATACCTGGGGGTCAAGTGAGGAAATTTGGCTTGACTAAACCAGAGATGAGGGGGCTCAAGACCAGCTGTGCCCTGCGTCTGTACCGGGCACCACTGTGAGCCCTTCACGGACCGAACAGCTCTGTCCCATCCCCATTTTACAGATGGAGACACTGAGGCACACTCGGCTATGCAGTCTCTGGTGGGAGGAGCCAGGGTGTGGTTTCACACGGTCTGGTCCAGAGCTGCCCTGATAACCGTGACAGGGAAGTGCTTAACTCCTCCTGTGAGGTAGGGAGGCAGAGACTAGGAGGGCGCTGTGTGCTCCGTCTGTGGCTCTGTTTACATTTTCTGTTTATAAAAGGGGGTGGGATCATATGCACACCAAAACGGAGGTGGTGGTGGTGCGGTGAAGTGGACGCCTCACTTTGGGGTCAGTCATTTCCTCGTCAGAACCTGTCCCACGTGTGGCCATTCCCTGTATCCGAAAATGACTGGACTGTGTGCCGCAGGGTGAGTGCCCCAAAGGCTGGGAGGCCACCCCTCCGTACGGAGCAGCCTGACACACGCCCCATCCCGACACACACACTAATGTTGCAAGCACGCTCTCGTTTTGGATGGCTGTTTTTGTAAAACAGAAACTTGGCTAAAGAGGAACCTCTCTGGACAACTGGGTGGCCTTGCTGGGAGGCAGCTGGGGGACGGGGTTGTCCAGAACACTGAGGTCCCAGGGGGGCACCCTGAACCCCTGTGCTGAGACCCTGACAGTGCGCCACCTGCCTGCCGAGGGTTTCAAACGCCTTAAGGCCTCGGCTTTCCAAAGGGCGCGCTAGGACGCCCGCAGGCTGGAAGCCCCGACGCAGGAAGACGGGACCACGTAGCAGCTGGCAGCCGCCTTCCTGCGATCCCACCCGCTGGGGGGCCCTGCGCCGGCCAGCCCCGGCTCTCGCTTTTCTTTGGGGCCCTCTGGGCCGCTGGCTCTTGGAAACTCATCCGTCAGTTCACTCTGAGTTAAAAGGAATCGCTCCAGGCGTGGGAGGCCTCGCGGCCCCTGCCGGCAAGAAGCTCCGCTCCGGTGCGGACCCCACGGCGTTTCTCTCCCGCGGGAGCCGCGCAGCGCGTTTTCCCGCGCCTGGAGCGCCGCAAACCCGGGAGCGCGGACTCGGAGGAGGCGGGCGTGCTCCTCGGCCTAGTGGTCTTTGGAGCGGCTCCAGCCGGTCAGGTGAGCGACCAGCGCTTCCTGCAGGACCCAGGCACCTGCTCAGCTGCACAGCTCCCTCCTGGTCCAATCCGCAGCTTGGCAGCATCTCCTTTCCCCGGGGTGGTGCTGTGAAGCCGCTTATGGAGGAGCAAGACCCTGGCCGGCCCAAGCTCCTGGCAGAACCCCCTTGACGTGACCTGTGTCCCATCCAGGCCTATGGGTGGAAGTCGTGGTAGGGCTGAGGCACCATCACTGGGATAGGACGGAAACTGCACAGCAGCTGGGCAGAGGACAGGATGGCCAGGGAGGCGCGACCTCACCCCGAAGGGCCACGATGCTGGGAACGCTGAAGGGGAGGACTGTCTAAGGCGCTCCAGGAAGGGGGATTGGCCCCTACCTGGCCCAAGAGCCACAGGGGCGGTGGACTCAGCTTGAGGGCAGCCCTGGCCCTTCAGCCGTTGGTATTCAACATAGGGGTAGAGGTTCAGACACACGATATCCACCCGGCTGAACTTCGTGAGCCAGGGTGGCGCCCAGCATCTATCCTCTGAGTTGTTATTTTTCAGTCGCTCAGTCGTGTCTGACTCTCTGCAACCCCGAGAACTGCAGCCTGCCAGGCTTCCCTGTCCTTCACCATCTCCCAGAGTTTGCGTATATAACTCATGTTCATTAAGTCTGTGATGCTATCTAACCATCAGGACAGATGGTTATAGATGCAATGCAGGCGACCTGGGTTTGATCCCTGGGTTGGGAAGATTCCCTGGAGAAGGGAATGGCAATCCACTCCAGTATTCTTGCCTGGAAAATCCAATGGACAGAGGACCCTGGCGGGCTACACCCATGGGGTCGCAAAGAGTCAGACACAACTGGGCAACTAAGCATGCATAAGCATTCTGTGACTTGGATATAGTACAACCTGTTTACATAGGTATCCATTTAGGGTGGGGGTTTAGGTCGACATCATGTATGTGGGAAAGCATTAGTGGCAACCCGTTAAAGTGGTCAGATTAGTCCTTAAGACGTTCATAAGAGCTCATGTTTTAGAGGAAGGGAGGAAGAAGTTATGCTGTCATTACTAATAGAATTTGGTTATATCCTTAGAAAATGTGAGAGAAGAGCCGGGGAAAGTGCTGTAACTCTGCAAAACTGAGACTGTCACAGGCTGTAGGATGTAAAGGTGTTTGTTGTTCATCCCCAGAAACAGCAAACATTAAAACAACGTGAATCTCTTCTTTCCTCTTCCAGAGGGATAACCCTAACCCTAACCCTAACCTAACATGGGACCTAACATGGGACCTAAGATAACCTAACATGGGACCCCCCAGAGGAGAGACCCCGTTTCCCTGCCTTCCACCAGAAACTCGGAGTGTGCAGCTCGGTTGTGGACCTCCAGGCCGTGGACCAGTACCTCCTGTTGGATCAGCGGCAGCATTAGATTAGAAATAAAGTGCCTGATAAGCGCATGATGCGCCTGAGTCATCCCGAAACCATCCCTACTCGTTCTGGTCTGTGGAAAAATTGCTTCCCACAAATCGGTCCCTGGCGCCTGAAAGTTGGGGCCTGCTGCTCTAAAGGCATATCTGCGTGTGTGGACCATGATGCTGGAAGGAGTCTTCTTTGGGAGGGGCTCATCAAGTGCTCCCCACAAACGGACAGGCCCCAGAAGGTCACTGCGGGGACCTACAGGTAATTTTGTGTCCACCCGACTGGCCACAGGTGCCCAGGTTAAGCAGTTCTGGGTGTGTGAGGGGGTTTCTGGTGAGCTCAGCAGTGGAACGGGTGGTCTCAGTAACACAGGCACCTCCACAGTGCGGGTGGGCCTCCCAGGGCGGGTGCCCCCACCCCATGCGGGTGGGCTCATCCATCCGCTGAGGGTCTGGATAGAACAGAAGGTGGAGGAAGGCGGGATCTGCCCTTCTGCACCTGCCTCAGCATTAAGCTGGCGTCATCCCATCTCCTGTCCCCGGGTCCTCAGGCCCCCGGACTTGGGGTGACTCACACCACCTGCTTCCTGGGTCCCCAGACTGCAAGCAGCAGCTCGTGGGACTTCTCAGCCTCCGCCGTCACAGGAGCCAAGGCCTCACAGTAAACTTCCCTGGGGGTGCGCAGGCCCCTCGTCCGTGTCTCTGGAGACCTCTGACTGCTACAGAGGTTAACAAACTGACACTAAACTTCAACTAGAAGAACAAACACGAGCTCGTACCTGAGACACCGTCCTGGGTCTTCTCACTCGGGAGTCGGGAGTCGGGGTGACTACAGTGGCTGCCCCGCCCTGTCGTGGGTCAGCCGCAGGGGCGGGTGTAAACCTCGGGGCTGCTGCCCAGAAGGCACAGGAGAGGAGGGCAAGGTTGCAGGCGCCACAACTAGCAGGCTTTGGGAGGAGGGGTGCTGTCCTAGCCAGTATTTCGGGGCCTTGTGTGATGGCCAAGACTAGAGCCACGCCTGTCACGGCAAGTGTCCAAGAGGCAACCAGTAGCCCAGAGCAGGCGGGAGGATGGCTCTTCTCAAGGCTGTCTGCTAGACCATCAGGTGTGAGCTTCCCCTGTACAAACGCCAACGTGGGGACTTCCCTGGTGGGCCAGTGGCTAAGGCACCACACTCCAGTGCGGTGGTTTGATCCCTGGTCAGGGAA